CTAATTTTGTGTCATAATCAGTGGTGGGATGTAGCAAACTACAAGTACTTTGTTATTGTACTTAAGTACAATTTTCATGTATCTGTACTTTAGTTAAGTAGGTTTAATCATGGGTACTTTTACTCCACATTTTACATCAAGTATCTGTACTTTCTGCTCCTCTGCATTTCTGTAATGTGTTGCATTCACGTCACATTACAGTTTCTTTTATTTGTTTTTTTTTTTTTTTTTTTTTTTCAATTTGAAAGTAAACAATGGCGAGACGGGAATTGCTGTAATTGGTCGTGGCGATTCCACATCACCTGCAGGAGCATCAGCAGCAGCACCGGCACCCAAAGTGGATTCCACCACGGAGAGTCAGACAGAGGACACATGACACACATGGCCTTATTTAAAAGGCTTATTCAAGTTATATAAGGTTCCGAAAAATGGCTCGTGGACATTTGATAGAAGAGGTTGGTGGCGAATTCACAGCTTCTATAGCTGCTGTCGCAATCTCTGATGATGCACAAAATCACAAGTCCAAGTGTGAACAGTGTCACAGAGCGTAAACCCAAAAACARGCATTATCTGCAGCATTGCACAGAAATGACACACCATGATGTATTCAAAATACACATACAGTACGCACACTTCATGGTATTGCAAACCATTAAGGAATACATTAAGCATACTTTTACTTTTAATGCTTTAAGTATTTTTAAAAGCAAGGTCTTACTTTTACTCGATTAAAAAGGGTGTGTTGGTRTGTTTATCTTTTACTTAATGTTTGAGTTTCTCCACCACTGGTCATCAAAGTACAGTCAGAGTTGGACCAAGAGGTGGATTTTGCTGAGTTTTATTTGTTCTGGTTGGGTTAAGGACGCCACTCACTATTTCCTGTTTCTGGATYTGACATTAGGAGGAAGAGCTGCGGTCGCTTCTTCCTTTTTCCTGTCCAGATGGCAACATCAGCTGACAGCAGATATACGATGTTGTTTTGATACGTCAGTCTTTACTTTGAGAGCAGAACTGTGTGTGTTTGTGTGTGTGGTGTTAGTGATTAGAGAAAAAAAATGCATGTGTGTGTTTGCATGCCTACTCCCACTTTAGTGAAGCTGCTTCAAATACCTCTCTGCTAATGATTCACTTTGCTTTTTTTTTCTTTTCTTTTGCACTTTGGTGCCAAAGTACACTTCAATACAACTCACACAAAGCCTTTTTTTATTAAACTTGATCCTGCTATACTTTGGATTTGTGCACCCAMATCCCACCAGGGAACAGAAATTTGATTACTGGACTTGTCAGCCAAAGGACCCCCCCACCACCACCACCACCACCACTCCCATTGTCCCCCTCTCTTTTCCTGCTCTTTTTTCCCCCACCCTGCCCAGAGGAGATAACAGACCTCTCGTGTGTCACWAAACTGCATACAAGTTCTGTTTTTGGTAACGTCAAGCGTTCGTTTTAGTTTGAGTCGAAGAGAGAAGTTAACTCACTTAAATGAGACATCTTAACCAGGAGGAATAAAAATGAGTCCGTTCCCCAGTTTGGTCTAAATATCCAAACCAGTGTTTTAAAAAGAAGCAAAGTTTGCATATTRAGTGCTATCAGTGTTTCATAGGAAACACAGATGAGCTGATACTGATTTGCATCTGATGCTTTATTCCATGACATCATCTTCCTTCCTCCTTGATTTTGACATTTGAGATTTGTAAATGTCACCTGTATTGCTAAAAAAAACAGTTTCCTTTTAACTTTTTCAGGTCAAACTCTCCTCAAAGTCTTTTGACACCAGTCGCTCATAATTTAGCAGCTCTGTTTATTATTGTAAAAATATCTGTGTGCATCGTGATTTAAAAGACCTTAAAAGTACAAGAATCACTATTTAACCTTTAACATCAGTGTTTTAAGTTCGTCTTAAATTGCGAAATTGCAGTTTGAGCTGTTTTACACAAACTTTGAAGAAAATTATGCAATATAATAAAAATCTGTGTTGTGAATAATTAGCTACTACCATACTGAATTTTAGCTTCTGACCCTCAGTCCTAAACCTAAGCATGAACCCCCGCAATGACGTGCCACTGTATTGGGACCAGTCATTGGTCCTGACAAGGTTAGGAGTTTGTGCCAGATAAGGTCCTAAAAACCAGTGTTGTGAAGTACCACAAACTTGAGTAAAAGTACAGTTTCTTCTCAAAAAATTACTTTGGCAAAAGTTAAAGTCTCCTTTAGGAATATTACTTGAGTAAAAGTACAGTTTCTTCTCAAAAAATTACTTTGGCAAAAGTTAAAGTCTCCTTTAGGAATATTACTTGAGTAAAAGTCT